GTTTACTTTCTTTCTTTTTTACTTTTTCTATTTTGATTTGTTTCTCTTTACTTTTTCTTGCTGATTTTCTTTCTTTTTACTTTTTTAAAAATGTTTCTTGCATATTTCCTTTCTTTCTTTTTTACATTTCCTTTTTTACCTTCTTTCTTTTTACTTTTTTGTTTACTTACTTTGTTTTTACTTCTTCTTAGTACAACATAGGTTTTCTTTCTCTTTGTTTACTTTTAGAATCACTTGTAATTTGTTTTCATTTTTCTTCTCTTTTTCCTTCACTTTTCTCTTCAGAATCATCGGTCTTTCCACTTTCTTTTTTAAACTTGAATTTGCTTCCTTTCGCTTTTTTCATTTTACTTAATTTTTCTCGTTTACATTCTGTTGTTAACTTCTTTTCTCTTTAACTTTTATTCTTCTTTTTCTTTTTTCTCTCCTTCTTATTTTTTGTTATTTTCTTCTCCCTTTCTCATATTCTGTACTTATTTTTATTTTTTTACTTATATTTATATGACCAAAACATCGCGATAGTAGCATAATATTACCACATTTCTTCTTCTTCTTCTTCTTCTTCTTCTTCTTCTTCTTCTTCTTCTTCTTCTTCTTCTTCTTTTCACTTTCTGATTTAACATTGCGTTAAGTTTCATAGATTTTCTTCTTCCAATTGTTTATATCATCACAATCTTAAAAAAGAACATGACCTATCTATCTATCTATCTATCTATCTATCTATCTATCTATCTATCTATCTCTTTTCATATCTATCTATATATCTGAGATAATACGTTATTCTCACAGGTAGTTGCAAGCAAAGATCTATCTGAGACTGTTCAGATCAAATCCTATCTATCTATCTATCTATCTATCTATCTATCTATCTAAGCCTCTTCTGTAAATATATCTATCTATCTATCTATCTATCTATCTATCGATGTGAAGTTAATATGCTCGAAAAAAATAAATGAAAAATGTATGTAATGCAAATATTTGAAAATGTATATAAATATACACACATGTATTTACACACACACACACACACATATATATATATACATATATATATGTGTGTGTGCGTGTGTGTGGGGGCATGCGCGTGTGTGTGCGGTCAGATATCTGTAAATGTTTTTTACTAACGTATTTTTTAAGTTTTTAATCGTTTTAATCAAACATGAAGTTATATCCATCTATTTATCTCTCTCTCTCTCTATATATATATATATATATATATATATATATATCCCTGAAGATTATGTGCAAAAACAGGAAACTTATAGTAGTGGCCATCATTGCCTACCTTGTGTTTGAATTATATATATATATATATATATATATATATATATATATATATATATATATATATATATATATATATATATACCATGGAATATTAGTGTTTAAGCCTTTTCATTATATCCTTACTCTGTCCCGGACATTGAGTTCTACCTGGATTCTATCCTCTTGGATTTATTTTTTGTACAAATATATATGTATGTGTATGTATATATGTTTATATATTTTAGATATATGATTGCATATGTATGTGTATATATGGTATATTTTCCAAATATTATATATATATATATATATATATATATATATATATATATATATATATATATATATATATATATATATATATATCTGTGTGTGTATGTTCATGTGTGTTTGTGTTTATGTATATATATATAATTAATATATATGCATATATAGATGTATATATATATATATATATATATATATATATATATACATATATATATATATATATATATATATATATATATATATATATATATATATATATATATATATATATAATTTGTATTGTTTGTTAATTGTATGTTTAATTTTTTTTTTATTTCCAACATATTTTTCACTCGCAAGTTTTTAAGCGATTAATTAAAATAAAATGAATTTCACGAAGAATTGCAAGGCATAAAATGTATGACATTCATTGTCAAAAATAAAAATTGGAGAAAATATGTTTTTTTTATAAAAAACAAAACTAAAAACGGATGTAGTTATTATTTTATATGACATTTTAAATCTGTAGATAATGATTTAAAAGAGGTAATCACGTTCAGTCAAATATGCATGGCCTTCTTGTAATTTGTGTTATTTTGATTTTCTTTTGGTCCTAATCTACCTTTTATTTTAATCGAATTCATTTTATTTGTCTTCATCTTTCTTTAATTTTTTTTTTTATCTCGCGTTGAACGTGACTATTTTTCTTCTTGACTCATAATCGGAAAATTTATTCTCCTCAAGATCAACGTGCTTTTGTATTTTACTTATTGATATTTTATTTAATCCCGACTTTACTTTTCTTTTTATTTTATTTTCAGTTTTCTCTTCATTGTTATTACTCTTATTATTCTTCGTTTTTCATTCGCACACTTTTCTTCTTCTGTTAATTAATATTTTTCATATTTTCATTCGGTTTATATTCTTATCTTTATTCTTCCTTATTCCCAAAAATTTCTTTATTCTTGATTTTTTTTCACATTGAATCATTTTTATGATTTTTTTCTATTCGTTGTTGCTATTACTATTTTTCCTGTCATTTTTACGTTTTCATTAAACAATATCTGGTTTCTTATTTGCATATATCATCAAAGGATTTGCGGGAAGCATATTGGTTACCAAAACAGAAATATTTAAAAAAGGCGCTCATGTTATATTCTTCAATTATTTTTTTACCGATAAAGCCGCCCAGTAGAAAAATACTAGATAAATATCCGTCATCAAGCTGTCAACAGCTTAATTAAATAGCCACCTCTGTGTTAAAAAATGAATTTCTGCAATATTTTAAACTTAAATAAATAATATTTGATTTCTCATCAATACACTTAGTATCATCCCTCTAGCTATGTCACTGTAAATTGAGCTCTAGCTCTGATATCAAAACTGGACGGACGTGGAACTAGCAACTCCACTCATTCAAAAAAATCTACTTACTGCAAAAAAAAAAAAAAAAATCAGCTCAGCTACACCTAATATGGCGCGGTTATACCCTTTTACGCTACAAGGGCGTCAACACAACCTACATGCAATCTTCATATATTTCCTTATTATAAGTTTTTATTCATTACTGTTAATATTCTGGCATATTTAACGGCGATAGGCAATCCCTAATTTTACCAGTTACAGGCGAAACCTTGCTAGCTCATATCTACTCTATAGCTATTTCCATGGCAAATGTTCTACATTAGTTCCAGCTGTTCTGTCCTTCACAGCTAAGACCCGCCATGGCACGTACACTGTAATTCATCATCCTCATTCCCTTCGGACTCCATTACTAAGAAGGGGGTGCCTTTTAGTAAGCTTCTTCCCAATTGCCGCTACTTGTTGAACAGACTCTCAAGAGAATGCATACCCGATCTACGTGATCTTAAGATATTCAAGTCTAAGGTCAATCGTTATCTTTCCTACATATTCTCATATGGTTACTTGCATTATTTACATTATTCGGACTCAAGGACACATGGCCCAGTGGATTGAAACTTTTGTTAGATCCAGTAAATCGACCCCAAAATTTGTGAGTTCAATACCAAAACTTGGACGTTAAAGGGGAATAACTGAGAGATTCAGAAAAGGCCTGGCACATGGAGCTAGAACAATCTACCCCGGTGTACGAAGAAGACCGTAGGGTACAACGGCCGAAATGATGTGAATATGGCAATGAGGATGAGAATAACAGTCCGAATAATGTAAATAATGCAAGTAATCATAATACTTCATCTCAGAGATCCAAACACCTGAAGAAGGCCAGAACGCAGAACGGCCGAAACTTTGTGAATATGACAATAAAGATGAGGATAACAGTCCAAATAATGTAAATAATGCAAGTAATCGTAATACCTCATCTCAGAGATCCAATCACCTGAAGAAGACCGGAGAATACAACGGCCGAAACGTTGTAAATATGGCAGTGAAGATGAGGATAACAGTCCGAATAAAGTAAATAATGCAAGTAATCATAATACCTCATCTCAGAGATCTAATCACCTGAAGAAGGCCGGAGAATACATCGGCCGAAACCTTGTGAATATGGCAATAAAGATGAAGATAACAGTCCAAATAATGTAAATAATGCAAGTAATCATAATATTTCATCTCAGAGATCCAATCATCTGATGAAGGCCGGAGAATACAACGGCCGAAACGTTGTGAATATTGCAATAAAGATGAGGATAACAGTCCAAATAATGTAAATAATGCAAGTAACCTTAATATACCTCAGAGATATAGAAAGATATTTTCATATGTATTTCTTACCTCCTATTACGTTTATACAACAACCTCATTTTGCAAACTTCTGACTTGAGAGGTTCTTGGGTTTTTTATTGGGTGAACTAAAATAAAATTTCTGATTTTTCTTGTTTGTTTGTTTTTTTTTTATTTTTCTCTTGTTTTATTACTATTTTAATTTTATTTTTGTTCCGTCTCTTCTTTCATGAATCAATAACTGACTATTTGTATGTATAATTTTTGTAAAATTTATTATCTTACTAATTTAACCTAACGTCTCAGATACTAGAGTAATGGTGATTGGTTGGGATTATATTTGGCGGCGCTTGACAAAAAAATAAAACTGACATTTCTCTATAGTTTCAAGCCAGTAAAACACTTTCAGTTTGTTAAGTAATGGTTGATTTCGACAAATGATATTTCCTTTGTTTCTAAGCAATAAAGTATTTCTTTTTTAAAGTACTCAACCCCAAGCAAGGCGGGAAGCCACTAGCACGCAAGGGGTTATAGAGAGTAGGAGCGAGAACAAAGAGGAGTGATAGAGGAAAGGATGAAGAGACGACTAGGAGATAGATCAGAGCATCTGGAGATGTCGATTGACGTTACATTTGAATAGTTGGAGATTATAGATATCAGGAAAACAAGAAATGGGGAGGGAGTTCCACAGGCGAGAAGTGCGAGACATGAAGCATTTGGAGCAGAAGAGACAGATACATTTATTTTTTTTTTTATATAATATGCACCTCAGTGAGAAAGTTGATCTTTAAAATGAAAAACTAAACAATTTGTACCATAATAGAAAAGATCGTTCGATAGAGTTAGTCAGCTTTGCAATGCACTGTGCATAGAAACCTAATTTATGAAACAGAAATTTAGGTACTAATAATCTCTTTGAGCGTTACATTCAATACCTTCCTCATTGCAAGGGTAACCTTTCTTGTAAAGAAAGGTTATTCGGGAAGCCATTCATTCAGGCGATAATTATTTTCATGGTTCATTAATTTCTACATGCAATGGTTACCTGTGGCAAAAGTGTCGCATCTGATGTTGACGGAGACGAAAAATCAATAAACCCCAACTGAACAAAAGGTGTTACTCGTAATTTTGGCGCCCAAAGACATTTCGCACCTGTAAAGATTTGCCAGAAAAACACTAAAATATTCGAGAAATTATGTAGCATAATAGTATCAACTTTGATATATGTACCATCACAAAAGACGCTTGTAAAATGGCCAGATCCTTCTACCGTTCCTGAAATCACCTGATTTCACTTGTCATGCTCTATCGTTACAAGTGCCAGATCAGACCCAAAATATCTGAGCCGGATCTGCTCCAACTTTGTCTTCCCAGCCTTGACACAGTTAAAAAAACGCTTACGCGGGCTTGTAGCCGCAGAATTATTTCCCACAGTGCAAATCCTCTCCCAAATGTACAATGACATAATCTTCTCGCTGCTCTATCCCTATTTTCATGTAAAATGATCTGACGAGTTATATTGCCTCGTTCCACCAATTCAGACATTTACAGCTAAGATCCACCATATCACGCACACAGTGGCGAACTATTCTCGTTCCTTTCGCCTTCCATTGGTAAGAAGGACGTTCCATTCGGACATATTCTTCTCGAGAGCCGTTACTTTATGGAACAGACTACTAGAACTCTAGAATCTTAATCGCTTCAAATCAAGCGTTAATCGTTACCTCCCGTAAGTCTCCTCATAATTCTCTCTAGTTGTGGTGATTATATGTGTAGCGAAGTATTTCCTTTTCGGTTAACGTTGGGTGCAAAAGATTTCCTAAGTAAATTGCTAACCTTTTGAGCCTTGCATTCCTGAACAATTTTAACCCTTCTGCCTGACCTCCTGAGTCAAAATTCGCTAATAATTGCTATGTAATGTTTCACGGTAGATATAAAAGTAGTTACAAGTGTTTACCCACCATTCAACCGGTGGTTGGGTAGTAAGTCATTTTTCTCTGCCACCAGTAAAACAGTGTTCATGGCTCAAAGGGCTAATCTAGTTAAGGATTATAACTCTTTATAGCTTATAAGGTAGCAGATTTAGTTTATCTTCTTTTTTTAAATATTTGTGATTGATTTCAGAGATGTTTATCGTAATATTTAAAATTGTGTTTCGCTTGATGTAAACATTGATTGATTGATCTATTATTTTTAAGTCTTATCAACCTTTTAAAGGTTATTTAACGCCAAAACATTTGGGATTGTAAAAATAATTGTTTTTTTTTTCTTTTAAGCGTGTAGTGCATTAACAGCTATTCTGTAGAATAACATATATTTTTGAAGTTATCCGTACTATTATTTAACCCATACTTAAGGGTAGGAGATGGGTTCATTGTTTTCTTCTTATGTACCTTGTCCTTTCAGGACGTAGGCGATCATGGCTCTCCCTCTATCCCTTGCAGCTCTCAACAAGTTCCTTCCCTTTGCCACCTCCTCCAGACCACATTCTGTCATCCACTCGCTTAGGCCCGCTAAGTATATCACGCGTTGTTTTCCCTTGTCTCTCTTTCCAGCAATTCGACCCGTGAGTACCAGATTCTCCAGGCCCTCTTTCCTCATTATGTGTCCCAGAAACTTCAGCTGCCTCTTCGTGTTCTTAAGTATAAGCCTCCTCCTTGTTTGCAACCTCTCTACGACCTCATCGTTGCTCACACGCTCGGTCCATGATATCCTTAGCATCCTTCTGTAGAACCACATCTCCGTTGCCTCGAGTCTCTTCTTCATCTCTGAGGAAATCGTTCAACATTCGCTGCCGTAAAGAAGGACAGATGTCAGGTAACAGCTTAGTACTTTTTTCTTTGTTAACAAAGAAATCCTCCAGCTTTTGAAATGTGTCCATGACCATTTGAATACGGCTATGGTTCTCAGTGTCACACTTACAATCCTCTGTCAAAATGCTTCCCAGATATGTAAACTACTGTGTCTGCCTTGATTCTCGTGTTTCCCACCTGCAAATCACATTTCGGGCTCATCCTTTTACTGATGGCTATGCATTCTCTCTTCTTTTAGCTTATTATGAGTCCCTTCTCATTCTCGGTCACTACCTTCTGTGGGAGATTTTCGATACTTTGCCTTATTTTTTTCAAATCATTTTATTCCAAGAATACTACCGCTAAGACGCAAAGGGTTATTGAGTTCTATGAGGAAAAATACTATTAGTTTGGTTTGGTTTATTTTGCTTTATGGCATATCAACCTCAATGGGTTATTTAATACGGACAAAATTTATTATTACGGGTAA